TTAATGGTGGCCATGTTGTTTCTATCATATTCCTGTCTGGATCTTCTGTCATTTGGTGGTGGATTATATATGACTACGACTATCATTTTTGTTTACCCTCCAGTTGTTATTGTACCTGTTATGTAGTCAATGAAACCTTCACATCCCTGAACAACAATCTCCTCAAAATCCCAGCCTTTTCTAACCAGCAGGGCTATACCACCACCACCTCTTCCTTCCCTCTCTTTCCTCATAACATAATAGTCCTGCATTTGTTATGGTTTTAGCTTTGTTTCTGTGAGAGTTATGATATCTGGGTTTTATTCTAGTACCCATTCTCCAAGTTCATTTGCTTTATTTGTAATTCCATCTATGTTAGTGTACATTGCCTTGAGGCTCATTTTCTTCTGTCCCTTCTCAAATCTCCTCCTTGGTGAGTGTTCTGCTGTTGGGGGAAGCTGTTCCATGGGTGTGAAGATTTGTGAGGTGGATAACAGGGGTGCAGAGGATACTGGGATTAGGGGTGGGGGGTCAAGTGAAGGGGGAGGGACAGGCAGGGTATGGGGTGAAATGGGAGGGAGGGCAGGAAGGAAAGGGGGGAAGGGGGGGATTCGGATGGAGGAGGGGAGGGGTAGAAGGGTGGAGATTGGGTGTGGGGAGAGGGAGATTTGGTTGGGTATTTGAGTGGGGGCAGGGAGGGTTTGGGGCAGGGGGGGGTTTTCTATGTGTAACTTTGTGTAACTATCTTTTCCACCTGTGTAACACCCAGCCTACCTGTGTAACACCCAGCCTACCTGTGTAACACCCAGCCTACCTGTGTAACACCCAGCCTACCTGTGTAACACCCAGCCTACCTGTGTAACACCCAGCCTACATGTGTAACACCCAGCCTACCTGTGTAACACCCAGCCTACCTGTGTAACACCTAGCCAACCTGTGTAACACCCAGCCTTCCTGTGTAACACCCAGCCTACCTGTGTAACACCCAGCCTACCTGTGTAACACTCAGCCTACCTGTGTAACACCCAGCCTACCTGAGTAACACCTAGCCTACCTGTGTAACACTCAGCCTACCTGTGTAATACCAGCCTACCTGTGTAACACCCAGCCTACCTGTGTAACACCCAGCCTTCCTATGTAACACCCAGCTTACCTGTGTAACACCCAGCCTACCTGTGTAACACCCAGCCTACCTGTGTAACACCCAGCCTACCTGTGTAACACCCAGCCTACCTGTGTAACAACCAGCCTTCCTGTGTAACACCCAACCTACCTCAGTAACACCCAGCCTACGTGAGTAACACCCAGCCTACCTGTGTAACACCCAGCCTACCTGTGTAACACCCAGCCTACCTGTGTAACAACCTGCCTATCTGTGTAACAACCAGCCTACCTGGGTAACACCCAGCCTACCTGTGTAACTCCCAGCCTACCTGTGTAACACCCAGCCTACCTGTGTAACAACCTGCCTATCTGTGTAACAACCAGCCTACCTGGGTAACACCCAGCCTACCTGTGTAACTCCCAGCCTACCTGTGTAACACCCAGCCTACCTGTGTAACACCCAGCCTACCTGTACTCACCTAGTTGTGCTTGCGGGGGTTGAGCTCTGGCTCTTTGGTCCCGCCTCTCAACTGTCAATCAACAGGTGTACAGGTTCCTGAGCCTATTGGGCTCTATTATATCTACACTTGAAACTGTGTATGGAGTCAGCCTCCACCACATCACTTCCTAATGCATTCCATTTGTCAACCACTCTGACACTAAAAAAGTTCTTTCTAAGATCTCTGTGGCTCATTTGGGCACTCAGTTTCCACCTGTGTCCCCTAGTGTGTGTGCCCCTTGTGTTAAACAGCCTGTCTTTATCAACCCTGTCGATTCCCTTGAGGATCTTGAATGTGGTGATCATGTCCCCCCTAACTCTTCTGTCTTCCAACGAAGTGAGGTTTAATTCCCGTAGTCTCTCCTCGTAGCTCATACCTCTCAGCTCGGGTACTAGTCTGGTGGCAAACCTTTAAACCTTTTCCATTTTAGTCTTATGCTTGACTAGATATAGACTCCATGCTGGTGCCGCATACTCCAGGATTGGTCTGACATATGTGGTATATAATGTTCTGAAAGATTCCTTACACAAGTTTCTAAAGGCCGTTCTTATGTTAGCCAAACTGGCATATGCTGCTGCTGTTATCCTCTTGATATGAGCTTCAGGGGACAGGTCTGGCGTGATATCAACCCCCAGGTCTTTCTCTCGGACTCTTTAAGTATTTCATCTCCCAAGTGATACCTTGTATCTGGTTTCCTGCTTCCTACCCCCTATCTTCATTACATTACATTTGCTTGGATTAAACTCTAACAGCCATTTGTTCGACCATTCCTGCAGCTTGTCCAGGTCTTCTTGAAGCCTCAAGCTGTCCTCCTCTGTCTTAATCCTTCTCATAATTTTGGCGTCGTCAGCAAACATTGAGAGGAATGAGTCTATACCCTCTGGGAGATCATTTCCGTAACACCCAGCCAACCTGTGTAACACCCAGCCTACCTGTGTAACACCCAGCCTACCTGTGTAACAACCAGCCTACCTGTGTAACACCCAGCCTACCTGTGTAACACCCAGCCTTCCTGAGTAACACCCAGCCTGCCTGTGTAACACCCAGCCTTCCTGAGTAACACCCAGTCTAACTGTGTATCACCCAGGCTTCCTGAGTAACACCCAGCCTACCTGTGTAACCCCAAGCCTACCTGTGTAACACCCATCATACATCTGTAGTACCCAGGCTACATTTGTAACTGTAACTCTGCTACCTCCTGTATAATCTTCATTCCAAATCCTCGAATCTAAAACGTTTGATCGCCTAGATATTAAACAACACGAGGACACCGTGCCTTCAGTGCCACACTGCAAACTCTGAGGACGCTGCCACCACCTGCTAATTCAATTTACTGAATAATTTTCCCCAAATGTCGGTGAAACAAGACACCGTTAATTAGGCATAATCCACGAAAGTGGATCCCCCAGATTCCGAAAAAGAGTGATAAGATTTACGTTAAGTGCGGTTTAAATGTAAGAACGACGGGATTATATGAAGTATTAAATAAATGCTTGCGGCTTACAGAGGGTGCTTAGCCCAAAGCATGGGTTCTTGAGCCCAACAACAGAATGTAAAATAAGCGTGGGGGGGGGGAGGGATTCCACTAAACACCATAAATTCTAAACAAGATTTAAAAAAAAAAATTTATCAAGGAAAATAAAGAAACACCCTATCTGAACACTTCCTAAATAGAATTATAATCTAACTGAAATTCTTCCTAAAATAGAGGTAATGGTATGTACTACAAAATAATGTGAACTCTATGCTGCACTTAAAACAGAGAGATCTTTTACCCTAAATATTACACCCAGGCTTAGATGTTCTGCCTCAGCTCCAGGGAGGAGCAGTCCCACCTCCAGTTGTTGTCCAGTCCACACTGACTATATTATCCACTGACCTCTGTGAGGCTGACCTTAGCTTAGTTGCCAAATTTATCTTCAAAGATGATTACTAATTTAAATCCTGTACTTATCACTGAAGGTGACTTATTATTCCAAAACAATTGGGAAATTATCTAGATACTTGAGCCAGCCTATTACAATATTCAATAGCACTTGAATTTCTCTAATTCACCAGATTTTACAAGCAAGCTGGTAGGTATATATTTTCCGTTAACGAGATCCCATATTCTCACTGAAGTCAAATGCCTCTTTGACAACATCCGAGGCTGACTCTTCATTTTCAATTGATGTTAATTTTAACATAAGTACTTAAACACGATTGATTATTCCTACAATTTCTTAAATATATGAATTATTCTCCTAGTTTGATGAATTCGACACAAGGCCCAAGTGGCGCTCCTTGTTTTCCACACATAATCTCTAATCCCTTGGGGGGGGGGGGCTGATCCTTCCTAGCCTTTCAGGTCAACTACCAACTCACACCATATTTTTACAAAGGACGTATCTTCCCTTCTAGTGAATGACAACTTTTAATGTTAGATCTATGGCCTTCTATACTAACAGTGCCACTGTTACAAAACCCTCACTCAAGTATTTTGAAAGCTTTGTGTTAAACTATTTAGCACGAAGTTTCTTATCCCAATCCTTTACTTTATAACTAACAATTTGATCCAATGCCTCCAAAAAAATAAAAAACTACCCTACCTAACAATACATTACAATCATCAGATTATACAGCAATAATCATTAAAACCACAAATGCAGATCCAGGAATTTGAATCCTGACTGTCTAGTTGACAGCCCAGTAATCTTCCCAATACATCTGAAAACAAAACATCCTATCCCTGAACTTATATAATTAAATGCAATATCCCTAATCTGTCAGTAAAAGCTAACTAACAAAAAGCATCTACTTCCCATTAGGCATCTACGTGTTCCATCTAGAACATGAGACAACAATTTACAACACAGACTGAAATTTCAGTTTTTCAGGAGAGGAACACTGAACTCCTGAAAGTTCACTCCCGTGTTCCATTCACTCCATTCTTCAAACTCAATATGTCTCCATGACATTCTCTCAGCTTAACAATAATGCACAATATTTTATTTATTTATCAATACTACGTCTAATATCACAGTTCTTAGCTGAAATTACAGCAATAATATGTTCACACTCTATCACTAAGAATGTCAATGTTTATTTGGACCGCTCCTCTTGCTCTCAATATATTGAACAAGAACTGGCACAATTTTTTTTCGCCAACCTCTTGTTCTAGCACTCAGCCTACCTGTGTAACACCCAGCCTACCTGTGTAACACTCAGCCAACCTGTGAAACGCTCAGCCTATCTGTGTAACACTCAGCCAACCTGTGTAACACTCAGCCTACCTGTGAAACGCTCAGCCTATCTGTGTAACACTCAGCCAACCTGTGAAACGCTCAGCCTATCTGTGTAACACCCAGCCTACCTGTGTAGCCCTCCAGTCTACTTGTGTAGGCCCCAACCTACATGCACAAGACCCAGCCTACCTACCTGTGGCGCCACAGGAAGAAAGCAGCCAGCTCCATAAGCAGCAGTATGGCGAGTGTCACGCCCAGGTAGACGGCAGCACAGATGGTGGGGGTGTTGACTGTGTAGCGGTGAGGGGGAGACACCACCATCTCCCGGTGGGGACCTGTGCTACCACAAGGACACTATTACACTCATGCTATAAGTTCATTATATAATATATATCTTTATATATATAATACAATGTATATGTGTGTGTACTCACCTAATTGTGCTACTGGGGGTTGAGCTTTGGCTCTCTGGTCCCGCCCTTCGACTGTCAATCAACCGTCCGTCTGCGTGTCTGCGCAAGGTTGCAAGTCAAGTGCGGTGGGGTAGCATCAAGGGCTAAGACAACGTACCAGCCATGGTGTTATAGACACTTATAACAAGGACCACGTACCGTTCATAGTGTCATGGTCACGTTGTAACAAGGACAAGGACCACGTACCGTTCATAGTGTCATGGTCACGTTGTAACAAGGACAAGGACCACGTACCGTTCATAGTGTCATGGAGGTGTCATAACAAGGACAGGGAACACGTACCGGCCATAGTGTCATGGAGGTGTCATAACATGGACAAGGACCACGTACCCACCATAGTGTCATAGACGTGTCATAACAAGAACAAGGACCACGTACCCACCATAGTGTCATGGAGGTGTCATAACAAGGACAAGGACCACGCACCCACCATAGTGTCATGGAGGTGTCATAACATGGACAAGGATCACGTACCGGCCATAGTGTCATGGAGGTGTCATAACAAGAACAAGGACCACGTACCGGCCATAGTGTCATGGAGGTGTCATAACAAGGACAAGGACCACGCACCGTTCATAGTGTCATAGTCGCGTTGTAACAAGGACAAGGACCACGTAGGCAAGAGGAGGGAGAGGGCGAGAGAGAGAGGGTGAAAGCGAGAGAGAGAGGAAGAGGGTGAGAGAGGGAGATGGCGAGAGAAGAAGGGTGAGATAGGGAGAGGGCGAGAGGGAGGAAGGGCGTGAGAGAGGAAGGGCGAGAGAGAGAGAGGGCAAGGGAGAGAGGGAGGGAGGGCGAGAGAAAGGGAGGGAGGGCGAGAGAGAGGGAGGGAGGGCGAGAGACAGGGGGAGGCCGAGAGAGGGGGGAGAGGGCAAGAGAGGAGGGGAGAGGGCAAGAGAGGGGGGAGAGGGCGAGAGAGGGGGAGAGAGGGGAGATGGCGATTCCCTTGAGAATCTTGAATGTCGTGATCATGTTCCCCCTAACTCTTCTGTCTTCCAACGAAGTGAGGTTTAATTCCCGTAGTCTCTCCTCGTAGCTCATACCTCTCAGCTCGGGTACTAGTCTGGTGGCAAACCTTTGAACTTTTTCCAATTTAGTCTTATCCTTGACTAGATATGGACTCCATGCTGGGGCTGCATACTCCAGGATTGGCCTGACATATGTGGTATGCAAAGTTCTGAATGATTCCTTACACAAGTTTCTGAATGCCGTTCTTTTGTTGGCCAGCCTGGCATATGACGCTGATGTTATCCTCTTGATATGGGCTGCAGGGGACAGGTCTGGCGTGTTGTCAGCCCCCAAGTGATTTTCTCTCTCTGACTCATAAAGAATTTCAGTTCCCAGATGATACCTAGTATCTGGCCTCCTGCTCCCTACGCCTATTTCATTTCATTACATTTGCTTGGGTTAAACTCTAACAACCATTTGCTTGATCATTCCCTCAGCTTGTCTAGGTCTTCTTGAAGCCTCAAGCAGTCCTCCTCTGTCTTAATCCTTCTCATAATTTTGGCATCGTCAGTAAACATTGAGAGAAATGAATCTATAACCTCCGGGAGATCATTTACATATATCAGGAACAGGATAGGACCGAGTACAGAGCCCTATGGGACTCCACTGGTGACTTTACGCCAATCCGAGGTCTCACCCATCAACGTAACTCTCTGCTTCCTCTTGCTTAGGTACTCCCTTATCAACTGGAGCACCTTACCAGCTACACCTGCCTTTCTGTCCAGCTTATGTACCAGCCTCTTATGCGGTACTGTGTCAAAGGCTTTCCCACAATCCAAGAAACTGCAGTCCGCCCAACCTTCTCTTTCTTGCTTAGTCTTTGTCACCTGGTTGTAGAATTATATTAAGCCAGTCAGGCAAGATTGACCCTCCCTGAATCCATGTTGGCGATTTGTCACGAAGTCCCTTCTCTCCAGATGTGTTACCAGGTTTTTTCTCACGATCTTCTTCATCACCTTGCATGGTATACAAGTCAAGGACACTGGCCTGTAGTTCAGTGCCTCTTGCCAGTGGCCCTTTTTGTATATTGGGACCACATTCACCGTCTTCCATATTTCTGGTAGGTCTCCCGTCTCCAGTGACCTACTATACACTATGGAGAGTGGCAAGAAAAGTGCCTCTGTACACTCTTTCAGTACCTATGGCGAGATCCCGTCTGGACCAACAGCCTTTCTAACATCCAGATCCGTCCAGATCTTGACCTCCTCTCTCGAAATTTCGAACCCTTCCAAGGCCGCTTGGTTTACTTCCCTTTCTCCTAGCACAGTGACCTCACCTTGTTCTGTTGCGAAGACCTCATCTGCAAACATTGACATGTATGATTCCACTCCTGTAAACATATCATTTACGTAAATTAGAAAGAGGACTGGTCCCAGCACCGATCCTTGAGGTACTCCACTTGTTACTGTTCGCCAGTCCGACTTCTCGCCCCTTACCATTACCCTCTGACTCCTTCCTGTTAGGTAGTTCTTCACCCATACTAGGGCCTTTCCGCTTACTCCTGCCTGCCTCTCAAGTTTGCATAGCAGTCTCATGTGCGGTACTGTATCAAAGGCCTTTTTGGCAGTCAAGAAATATGCAGTCTGCCCAGCCTTCTCTGTCCTGCCTTATCCTTGTTACTTTATCATAGAATTCTAAAAGGTTTGTTAGGCATGATTTCCCTGTCCAGAACCCATGTTGGTGCTTGTTTACAAACCCAATGCTCTCCAGGTGCTCAACAAGTCTTTGCCTAATTATTCTTTCAAGTTTTTTGCAGGGGATGCTTGTCAGTGATAGGGTCTGTAGTTAAGTGCCTCCTCCCTATCACCTTTCTTGAAAATCGGTACGACATTTGCCTCCTTCCAGCAACTGGGCAATTCTCCCGATATATGTGACTCATTAAAGATCATTGCCAGAGGCACGCTGAGAGCCTGCGCTGCCTCTTTAAGTATCCACGGTGATACTTTGTCTGGTCCAACAGCTTTATTCGCATCCGGTGTTGTCAACTGTTTAATTACCTCCTCTGCTGTCACCTCTATATCTGATAGTCTTTCATCTAGGGTAACCTCTTCTAACAATGGGAGCTGCTCAGGCTCGGTTGTGAACACTCCATGGAAATTTGCATTCAGTACCTCGCAGATTTCCTTGTCGCTTTCTGTATATGCCCCTTCTGGTTTCCTCAGTCTTGTCACTTGGTCATTCACCGACATCTTCCTTCTTATATGGCTATGTAGTAATTTAGGATGCTTTTTCGCTTTGACTGCAATATCATTCTCATAATTTCTTTCCGACACTCGTCTTATGTTAATGTAATCATTCCTAGCTCTGTTACATCTAATCCTGTTGTCCTCTGTCCTTTGTCTTCTGTACTTCCTCCACTCCCTCCTGCTTCTCACCTTTGCTTCCTGACACTGTCTATTAAACCATGGGTTATTATATTCCCTCCTGCTTTTTTCCTTTATTGTTGGAATAAATCTCTCTTCAGCCTCCTTGCATTTCAATATGACTTGGTTCATCATACCTTGCACTGTTTTTCCTCTAAGTTCTTCTTCCCACTGTACTTCTCCCAGGTAGTCCCTTATCCTTCTGTAGTCCCCTTTTCTGTAATCAAGTCTCCTTTCCCGGACCTCTTGTCCTTTGGTCACAATTTAAAGCTCCATCATGTAGTCAAAGACTAGGACACAGAGGTCACTGGCTCCTAGTGGTATTTCATGCTCCAACTGCTCGATGTCTTCTACATTCTGGGTGAAAATGAGATCTAATAGACTGGGCGTATCCCCTCCTCTTTCCCTAGTATCTTCCTTCACATGCTGTGTTAGGAAATTCCTGTCAATAACGTCTACCAGCTTTGCTCCCCAGGTCTCCTCCCCGCCATGGGGATTCCTCGTTTCCCAATCTATCTCTCCGTGATTTAGGTCCCCCTATGACCAGCAGCTTCGCTCTTATTCTATGCGCTATAGTTGCTGCCCTCTGCAGTTCATCTATACATGTCTTGTTGCTGTCATCGTACTCCTGCCTGGGCCTTCTACTGATTGGTGGGGGATTGTAGAGTATCAAGATTACAATCTTCTTCCCATCCATTGTCAGAGTTCCATGTATGAAGCTCGTGCTTTCATTGGTACCCGGATTTTCCAGCTCATCAAACTTCCATTTCCGCTTAATTAGGAGTACCACTCCTCCTCCCTGTCTCTGTGTCCTTTCTTTTCTTATCACCTGGTACCCCTTTGGAAAGATTGCATCCGAGATCATGCCATTTATTTTAGTTTCCACTATTGCCACTATGTCTGGGTCTGCCTCACTAACTCTCACTGTGTGTGTGTGTGTGTGTGTGTGTGTGTGTGTGTGTGTGTGTGTGTGTGTGTGTGTGTGTGTGTGTGTGTGTGTGTGTGTGTGTGTGTGTGTGTGTGTGTGTGTGTGTGTGTGTGTGTATTCACCTAGTTGTGCTTGTCTCCCCTTGTGCGGGCGATGAGCTCAGCACTTTCGTCCGCCTCCTAACTGTTAATCAATCAACTGTTACTAACTACTAACTAATTTTTTATTTATTTTTTTTAACCACACACACACACTCACATACACATACACACACACACACACACACACACACACACACACACACACACACACACATACACACACAGGCTTGATAGAATTCTACGATCAGGTGACACAGATTAAGCAAGAAAGAGAGGGCTGGGCGGACTGCATTTTCTTGGATTGTCGGAAAGCCTTTGACACAGTACCGCATAAGAGGCTGGTACATAAGCTGGAGAGACAGGCAGGTGTAGCTGGTAAGGTGCTCCAGTGGATAAGGGAGTATCTAAGCAATAGGAAGCAGAGAGTTACGGTGAGGGGTGAGACCTCCGATTGGCGTGAAGTCA